TTGCAGTTAGATAATTTTAGCGTTTGTCTATTGTTAAGAGGCTTGAGTATAATTTAGAGGTGAAAGTACCACCATACTATTTCTGAATTAAATATACTCAATTCTGACAGTTTTGGAGAAAGGGTAAGATAGAGTTACTACATGGAAATGCCTGTTTAAGTTATATTTGAAGTTAGTTTTGGCTGCATTTTTGCCTAGGTTTTAAGTATTTGAGGAATTGTTTTCACAAAATATTAAACAAGGTCGCCAGACAAGAATCTTCTCAGAAATACTGCCAGAAGAGAAATAAATTTATCTTTGACATAAGAATTTGCTTATAATAAGGTTAGTTTCTTTTTAATATGTAAAGACAGTTGATTCCCATCGGAGGCTTCTGAAAGCCAGCTGTGTTACGAATTTGTAGATGTGAATACACACGTGTAGGATAAGACCACAGGCTGGGACTAGACGGGCACTGTAGAGGATTCATCTCAGTGAGTGGGGAATGCTGATGGCAGTCAGCTGGTGCAGGTGGGGAGGGGCCCTCCTACACAGCCTCTTTTCCTGAACGATTCTGGATGGCCACTATGGTGTGAAAGGAGGAATACGAGGAGGTGTACAGTCATCATGCAGGGATGTGGGAGGGCAGAGCTCTCTAGGGATTTTCCAAAAATGCTAAATGGCAACAGGAATCAGTGGAGTAATGAATGGGATTTTGAGGTTTAGCAAAAGAGAACGAAGACCACATCAGTCAGCAGTGTTCTAAATCTTTCACTTAAAGGATAGAGGTCAGTTAAACATGAAGAGAGTTCTGGTTAAAATTGGCCACAAAAACCTTAAATCTCGATGGCTAAGTGCATTGGTTTTAAACTCTTATAGTACCTTTCACACTGTGTGGTAGTTAGTTGTTTATGTAATTATCTCACTTAAGAAAAGGAAACATATTAGTGATTTTTCTACCCCATGATCTGTTATGGTGCCTAGTATGTCATACAGTCTCCGTGAGGAAGTAAACGAATACAGCCTCTCTAGTCTTTGTAGCTTCAAATCTAAATGATTTGAATCTTAGTGAATAGATCATAGAAACTGTTTTTGTTAGTTCTGAGAGAGAAGTAGGAAAGGTAATACTTAGAAGCCCTCTGCTATGTATATACAGGCAATCCCAATGAAAGGCTTCTTGTTTAACGTACAGCTGTCTCCTGTAAGATCTGCTGCCTTCTGCGTTGTCATGGTAGAGCTCTCTCCTCACCCCTCTATACCTCCTTTCCCCAGTCTTTCTGAGCAAGGCAGGAACCTTGTGTGGTTGTGCCTGTGGTAGCTCTGCACCTATCCCCAGTACTCATGCATTTCACCCGTCTCTGCCCTTACTGAGGAGCCTTTGGGCCCACAGCAGCAAGCCCTAGAGAATGAGGGTGCCCGAAGTCCTAGATTCATTGCTCTGTCGCAGCCCCACCCATTGCAGCTTTCTGCAACAATGGAACTGTTCTGTGGGTGCCCCACTGAGTTTGGTGGCCTCTAGCCCCATGGGACTGCTCATCACTTGAAATGTGCTGAGCATTGCAGTTGGGAACATAATTTTTAATTTAATTCAACTAATTTAAGTATAAATAGCTACATATCACTAGTGGTTGCATATTGGGCAACACAGTTCTAACCTAATGTTAGTGTCTTGTCATCTGTGTATGGGTTCAAGAGTTTTCTCTGAACTGATGTGGGAATCTAATAAACTGATGCTTGGCTTTGGGAACTGGGGTTTGGCAGTATTCTAAAAGCTTCATGTGAGCTAGTTTTTTATTACATGAGTTTAAATGCATTTAGGACATATCCTTTGACAGTTAATATAGTCAGGAATTATTATATGATAAAGGTTAGTAATTATGTTTTGTTTATGATGTATAAGTTGTATTTGTTGTTTTATTCACATACAGGACAGTTGTATAGAGTTTGGGCTCAAAGAAGGTTTTTATGCCACTTGAGGCAAAACTACTGCTTATTAGAGTGCACGTTGTAAACCAGTCCCAGACACACAGATCGTGGAGAGAGGCGACCTCATATTAAAAATGGGACAGCCTACAAGTCCCTGCTTGGTTTCCTAAGGCTTTAAATTTAGATATCTATAATAGGCTTTCCCTAAAATCTTTTAACATAGTGCGTTAGGTGTGCTCAGAGTCCTCTATCACAAAACCTGAAGTAGTTTGACTTCTAGATTAAATTAAAATGTGTTAAAGGCAGTGTTGCAGACTTTTTACCATGACCTTGTGTGCTTGAGCCTCATTTTTATTTTCTCAACTGCCAGGTGTCAATAAAGTTCTAACATATGGACAAATGTTACAAATTCATTATTACTCAAAATAAGTTTAAGAAAATCTATACTGTATATATGCTAATTATTGGCCTTCAGGTGTTTTTTTTTAAATGGAGTTGTCTTCACCTTTGAAGTAAAAGCAATACCTAGTATTCGTCTTTATTTTCAAAAAATATATGCTTCCTTTCATTTTTCTTGAATCATACAACACTTTTTGGTTTATCTTTAATTTTCTTATTTGTGACAGCAATGAATATGGTAAGTTTTTTATTTCTGCCTGGCTCTGAGAAAAATAGATGTGTAACTGGGTTGACTAATAGCAGTTGACAGCCACACAGTCGGGGAGAGGATATTCCCTGCCTTGGTCTTTCCCTCAACCAAATACTGACATGGCCAGTTGCCTTCTTGAAATCCCTACTAGAAGGGCATGTATGTATACCTCGCCCAGCCTCACATGTCTAAAATAGAACTGTTGATGCCCACCCACCTTCCCGTTCTCGGTGCATAGCTTCAGCATTCCCTCACACCTCATGTCCAGTCACTCATCCCTGTTGCCTCTGTCCACAGTAGCCCCTGAATCTCACGACTTCTCACGACCTCTACTGTCCACCAACAAACCTCAGGTCAGGCCATGCCTCCTTCTGCATTAAACAGTGAGGCACACAGGGCATGTAGACCAGAAGCTGTCCAGACAGCAGTGCTTTCTAAGGCATTCTTCTATGGCAGAACAGAAACTACCCCCTTCACGTTCCAGGAACTTCATAAACAGTTTACTTAAACCTCAGCACCACTGTGTGGTAGTAGTTCACATCCCCACTTTACAAGTAACCGGAGGCTCACAGGTGTTAACAGCAAGTCCATCCTATGGCAGAGCCAGGATTCAAATTAAGAACTCTCTGAGGCCGGGCGCAGTAGCTCATGCCTGTAATCCCAGCGCTTTAGGAGGCTGAAGCAGGCAGATCACTTGAGGTCAGAAGTTTGAGACCAGCCTGGCCAACATGGTGAGACCCTGTATCTACTAAAATTACAAGAAATAGCCGGGTGTGGTGGTGCAGGCCTGTAATCCCAGCTACTTGGGAGACTGAGGCACGAGAATTGCTCGAAGCCTGGGAGGCAGAGGTTGCAGTGAGCTGAGATTGGGCCACTGCACTCTAGCCTGGGTGACAAAGCAAGACTCGGTCTCAAAAAAAGAAAACCTCTTTGATATGAAAATCAGTGCTTGCTGTTATGGAATAGTGGCTTGAAAATGTAGATAGAGGCAGAAATGATCAAGAATACCACCTTGTAGATTCCAGAGTGTGTCTTTTGTGTACTAATTTTGCTACTTCCCAGTAATGATTGGCATCAAAATCCTTAAAATGCAAAGACGCTGTGTTTTTAGGAGGCAAAATGAAAAGGAAGAACTTGTGTGGATACTTTTCCCCCTTCATATCCAACTGTCAAAATAGATAATGATAGTTCTGTAAAGGTAAGGAAGGGAAGTTACAAACAAAAGTGGCTAGAGACAGAAATGTAAAATCAGTAGTTGTATGAATTAACTGATGGGTAAAACCAGAAAGTAGTATATCATAGAAGCTGAGATAATTTTAGGATGTAATGAACATAGTAATAGCAGAATAAGAAAGAATGAGAACTGAGACCAGTTTTGGATTTAGCAGAGAAGGAATTCATTGGTTTAGGTACTACTAGCAGTCAGATTATAGAACAAGGGATTTAAAATGTTTGAATTATAGTATCATGACATGATGTCTATAGTTTTGTTTATAACGCCAGCCAACTTACAGTTATGGATGAGGAAGTCATCCCTGTTTCTTGGTACTTTATATTCAGTTTGTTATATGTGATATATTATGTGATTCTGAAAAGAAACCTGTATTTCCCTTTTCTCCTTGATCCTTTTATGTGTCTCCTGACATTCCTTAATGTCGTCAGAGGCATTATTTTGTATTACTAGCACACGAGTGACACCTAGTGGCCAAAACATCTGAGTAAGTTAGTAACCAAAGTACTAGGAAAAGAATCAGCTGTTCTTTCTAACCTATTTTCTTGGCCAGAGCGTTGTGGTTCTTGATAATAATTTAATTTTGTTGCCTGACTTAAAGAACATTGCTGTGATTTCCATAAATTAACCTTTTTTACCTAGGGCAAATCACGTAAATTTATCTGTTTTTTTTCTCCCCCTAATGTGAAACTGAGATAAGCGAATGAGTCCCTTGATCAAAAAAGTCTATTTTTAAATATAGTCAACTTTTAGGATAAACCTAAGGGATTTATTTCTGTAACTTGTAAGGTATATCCTGAATCATTTACTAATCAGTCTAGCTATTTTCTCTACAAATACAGTATTACCCATTTGGAACTGATGTTTATAACCTTCAAGCAATATCTGAAAAAGGACAGTTTTTAAAATACATTATGATTTACAAAGAGGGAATATTTTAGAAGAGTTTTCAATAATAAGGGTAAAAGGAAAAACCAAAAGGATTTCTATTTAAATCAACTTGTATTTGTGTTTTCTGTACATATCTAGAAAATGATTTGTCCCATCCTTCCTGTGAATATACTGGTAAATTAAAGCATTATTATACTTGTTTCCTTCCTAAATAATATATGGAACGTTAAATAATTTACAGTGCTTTTATGTTCTTGCAAGTTTGTCATTATATTAATTGATTTGGTGGTGTTATTTGTTAATACGCTTCTTTTTATATTTCAGAAAAGATGTTGGTTTAAAGCGATTTTTTCCTAAGAGTTTACTGGATTCTGTCAAGGTAATTAGAGTCTCCTTTATCATAATAAAATAACAAAATTGTGCCAAGACCTTCTCCACAGTGATAAATTGCTTTTGGGAAAGTAAAGTGTAGTTTCCTTCCTTCCATGTAAAATATATGATTTAAAAAACTGACATTTATTCTAGTCACATAGGTTTTTAGTATAGCTTTCTCCCATAAAACGTGGTTTTACTTCTTGATTGTATTTGATACTCTGCTAAGCATAAAACTAAAAAAGTTACGTGCACAGTTATTCCTGTCATCTAGGTCTCTGTAGGTTCAAATATTTTGACATGCAGAAGAAAATGAGCAATATGTAAAATAATTGTGATGGTGGAATCATTAGTATTGTGTGTATGTGTGTGTGTGTATGTGCACGCACATGCGTGCGTGTTAGTGCATTTTGAAGGTGTGTCTTTTGTTTTAACTCTTTGGATGCTTCCCCATATTAGTAGCTTTGGCAGAGCCTCGGTTCTTGTCCTTCCCATATCCAGCGTGCAGAGCACCTTGGAGTGAGGTGGGAGGACTCTGAACTGTGATTTCCCCAGCTAATCCAGAGCACACATCAAGATTTTCAAGCGCAGCAGGGGACACAAACTTTAGGGTTAAGACAGAGTCTGGCTTAGATGAGCTCTGCCGTTTTCTAGCCTCAGGGTCTGGGGTCTGGTTTCTTATTTCTACAGTGAAGAAAATAGTATTTTGTAGGGTTGATGTGAATATTTAACAGATTAGTAAATATATTACTTAACCACAGTACCTGTCACATAGCAACAGTGGATGTTACTGCTCTTACTTTTTATTATTTCAGAGATCATATTCTGCATGCCATCAGCTGAAGCCCAAGCAGGAGAAGACATACGTTATGAGAAAATGTAGCTAACTTTGGATAAATTGCTTCATTTTTTGGTATTTCAGTATACACATCTGTAAAATGGGGATAAAATCCATTTCTAACACATGAGATTAATATGAAGATTAAATCTTAGACCAAAAGAGACAACTGTCAATGTCATGTTGATTATCGTTGGGTCAGAGTGTTGGTATAATGTATCAGATGCAATCTGTGACAAAAGCTCTGTATTCAGATATCTGGGTCTTGCTCTCTGTCAAACCCATCCAGAATAGGACTGTAAGGATTAGTCACTGGTTCCCTGACTCCAGAAAGTAACAGTATCCCTTCCTCTCTCACATAGCTTCTTGATAATCTCATAGGAAAAAACATAAAAGTGTTGACTTTAAAATACAAAGCATTCTACAAATGCAATAAGACATGCATTTAAGAATAGTACAGGAAAAATATACTCTTTATATCAGGCTCTTTTTCTAGTGACGCTACTCAACTTTTTCAGTGTTCCTTCAAGTTTCCTGATCTATTAGTGAAATACTACAGTAAGTTGTTAGGGAACAGAGCACACTCAATTTAGTGTGGTTGAGGCTAGGACTACAGATCTAGACACTGTCCCAGTCTACAGGTAGCCCACAGACCATTGGCATGAGTGGGTTGAGTCAGATTTGAAAGAGAACAAAGAGTTTTAAATGAAGTTTGGCACAGTGGAAGGGGAATGAGGGAGAATGACAGAATTATGTCCTTTGGGAGAGTTACTAGGTGTGGGTGACCCATACTGTTGGAGTTGGGAGAATGGGAGATTCAGTTTGACCTGGAATGTTTTTGGTGTGGGAGCCGAGAAGGCATGAGAAGACCCGTAAGTGGAAGGGATGCTGCTGTGCATAAACCTGCTGGGTGTTGCAGTGAGGAGGATAGTGGAGACATTCAAACAAGTGTAAGCTACAGTCTTAGTGAATTTACATTGTTATTGGATAGAAGAGTACCCTACCCAAAGTGCTATTGATGGTTATATCACATTAGTAGTATTGGTCAGTGGTTTTCAGTTACGAAGCACTGGGTGGCCTCAGAATTATTGCAAGGTCTCCTTAAATTTGTATGAGTATAAACAATTAGGAAAAGTTTCACTGTTGTCATTTAGGAGTCCAGTACATTCTCGATTTTTAAAGGATCCCCATGCTCAAAACAGGGAACCACAGGTACAGGTCACAGGTGACCAGTGCCATGGTGTGAGTGTAGCCAGAGTGAGACAGATGCCCAGAGAGGTTCGATAGAGGACTGGCCCTGTCTCCTCCATGACTACTCCTTCTGAACCTCTGCTTCAGTGGTCCCTCTCCTGCTCTTTTCATGGTAAATACTCTCTTCTATCTTGGGACCCTGTTTAGTTTAGTATCTTAACTTTTAATTCTACTTTTCTCTCTCCTTTTTTTTTTTTTTTTTTTTTTGGAGACAGAGTCTCCCTCCATCACCCAGGCTGGAGTGCAATCGTGCGATCTCAACTCGCTGCAACCTCCTCTTCCCGGGTTCAAGCAGTTCTCCTGCCTCAGTCTCCCAAGCAGCTGGGACTACAGGTGTCCGCCACCATGCCTGGCTAATTTTTGTGTTTTTAGTAGAGATGAGGTGGTTGGGCTGGTCTCGAACACCTGATCTCAAGTGATCAGCCCACCTCGGCCTCCCAAACTGCTGGGATTACAGGCGTGAGCCACCGTGCCTGGCCTCAATTTTTAATTATATCGTTTGTTACTTGATTGTATTTTATCTGCCTTCCTCCACTCTATTTTAAGATTCTTGAGGGCAAAAACAATATCTGTTGCCATCTCCACTCTACACCCTTTGTTTGACATAGTGCCTGGCATGTAGTAACTTTTGGTAAATCCTACTTAATGAATGAATAACAGCAATATGATGAGTAAAATCAAGGGAGACCCTTTCTGGACACTGAGTACAATGTGAACAAAAGGCGTGAAGACAGGATTAAGTAAGACTCTGTAGAAGATAGTAGAATTGAAAAGCTAGAAAGTTTCTTTCCTTGGGTATGCCTTCTCTACTGCTCTCCATCCTAACCCTCCTAAAGAAAACGCCTCCTCTGCAGGGGATTTGTGCAGGTATCTTAGAATATGTTTCCAGGCTCTCCTTTAGGCTTCCATTGCCCTGGCCTTTGCTGCTGACTCCCAGGTGCTTTTTTTTTCTGCCATCTTGAGCTGTGTCTAGCTATCAGGTGACTCCTGGTAGCCAGAGAGGGCTCACTTCCTAGAAACAGTGAGCCCTGATAGCCAGAGAGGGCTAACACCCTAGAAACAGTGAGCCCTCTCTGTTTCTAGGCTCTCTAGGAAACAGAGGTCAGACAGGACGGGGTTTTGGCTGAGTAGAGTCAATATGTGATGATTGTGGGCTGTCACTTGATGTGGGTTTAAATGCTCAGATAGGAGTTGAGGGGGATTGGGGACTCACTGCAGGGTGTGTGGAGTGTGCAGTATGATCTCTTTTTGGATTTTAGAATATAAAACCGACAGCAACATGGAGCACAGATTGAAAGCAAAAAGACCAGAACTGAAAAGAGTTGAGAGGTGATTAAGGAAGATGAGATGTGCAGTGATCAGGGCCTGGATGGAATGGCTTCTGTAAGAATGGGAGGGAAGGATGACTAGGGGGACTTGAGAAAACTTTTTTTTTTTTTTAAAGAGACAGGGTCTCACTCCATTGCCCAGGCTGGAGTGCAATGGCACGATCTTGGCCCGCTGCAGCCTCAGCCACTCAGGTTCAAGCAATTCTCCTGCCTCAGCCACCTGAGTAGCTGGGATTACAGGCATGGATCACCATGCCCAGCTAATTTTTTTTTTTTTTCTGTAGAAACATGGTTTTACCATGTTGCCCTGGCCAGTCTCGAAGTCCTGAGCTTAAGCCACCCATCTCCACCTCCCAGAGTGCTGGGACTGCAAATGTGAGCCATCACACCCAGGCCAGAAAAATAACAGATGTGCTTTTTGAGCAATTCAATTGTTGCTGATTTTGATGTAAATAGAATTAATTTTTAGCTACTGTTAGCTAGGGATTCATCAGATTCATGGAGTGGCTCATAAATAAGGTTCTTAGAACTGGTTTCTTACATGCCCTTTTTAATAAGGGAATCAGTGTAATTTTGTGTACCCAAAAATGTGTATTTGGCTTAGAAATTCATATCCTTAGCCCAAGATTTTTTTTCACATTTGACATAAATTCTTTGAACATTGTACTGATTGCCATGAAACTTCTATGGAATATGGTACCAATATATGCCCATGGGGGTAACAACTATAATACAAATTAGATGGTGTCTAGATAGTTCCTTCTTCAAAGCTACTGCCAGTGAAACTTCAGCTAACTAGAAATTCACACCAGTTTCATGTTTCTTCTGAAATAGCTCTATAGAATGGCTAGGTCAGTTAACATTGGCTTTTCCATACACAGGCTACATTTGTTTCCCCGGTAATTATTTTGTTTTATCTGCTTTTTTCCCCTTTCTATTTATATTTGTAGAGGATTATTTATAATAACATTCACATTGAATTGTTGAAAGATTGCTTTATTATCTTTAGTGAAACTTGGATTAGCTGTGTTTTATGCCAAAAATGGAATCTGGGATATATGTGCCTCAATTACTAAGAATAATTTGCAAGTATTTTAATTTCTATCTCATTGATGTTAGTAGTTTTAAAGACACATTTGAAAAATCACTGTACCAGTAAAACTGTCAAACCCAAATTAAGGGACATTCTACAGAATTCTGATGATTACTCTTGAAAAATATCAATGTCATGAAAGATAAGACCCAGAAGCTGTAACAGCTGGAGGAGGCTGAGGAGACAAGATATGTAAATGCAGTGTGGAATGTGGAGCAGTGAAAGGACATCAGTGGACAAACTAGTGAAATTGGAATCACTTCTGTAGTTCAGCGAATGTTGTCCTACCAGTGGGTACCAAGGGTGCTTCCCATTCTGGCATTGCAGCTCTACTCTGAGCTTAAATTAGGCAGCAAGTCAAAATAGGCAAATTTTAATTTATTGCAATATAATTCACAGTAGAAACCTAATTTCAGAATTAGAAATGTTAAGAGATCAATAGTTACCAGTTTTTTTAGTATCTGATTCTCAAGTAATAATGTGGTTTCCTAGAATAC